AATTGCTGTCTATTTCCTATAAAATTTGCTATTAGTAAAACTTTTTAAATATTGGGATTATTTGGGATTAATTTTAAAAGTATATAGGTTATTCGAAGACTTTTTACTCTCTTTTTTTTTAAAGCGGGTTAATTTGGTAGGTTTCAAGAAACCGCAAAAATAAAAAGTACTTTAACCTGTATAAAAAATCAAAAAAATTTTTTTATTAAATTGGCTAAGCCACAATGACGATCACCCAAAATTGGGTTTGTCCACCATGCTGCTATGCTTATAGTAGATAGTAGAATTTATTTGATTCTATATCGATTTAATACAAATCACTCTTGTCATAGTGAATCTTTCATTATTAACCAAATGTTACGCATTTATACATGATAAGTTAACTTTGGGTATAGTATTAATTACTAGGAATAAATGTTTATTATAGACTCTAATGATAGTTGGTTATTAAGTTATTTATCGAAATAATGCAAATCTTTCCAATAGTAATAGTGATTGGAACCGTTTAACTGTTTAAAAATTGCTCTATAGTTCCGGCCAGAATTATGTTGGTTGTGGGCCAGAATTATTTTAATGCCGACCAAACTAAATGGCTAAATGGTTAAACAATTAAGAAAAATTTTAGGCAGTTTTAATTCCTACTTTCCAATAGCAAAACGAAAATACATCAAAATAAATATAAGAAAATATAATAAGAAAATCACAATAAAAAAATTTATTTAACAGAAAATTTGCAACATTAGATCACAATTTTTTTGAAGTAAATCCTATACATAAATTCAATGTGGAATTTTTATAAAGTTCTATCTTATTTAACCCCCTCATCCGAACTTATTACTACTAACATTAAAAATCTCAAAGTAGTGTTTTTAAGAAGGGCTTCTGCTAACTTTGTTGCTACTTCTAATCCAAGTTTATTACCTTTAAGATTCAAATAAATCAGAGTGGTGTTCTTGCTAACTGCACCTGCTAACATTATTCCTCCTGATCTAAGTTCATTCTTACTAATGTCCAAAGAAATAAGAGTGGTGTTCTTACAAAGCATATCTTTAAATGCTTTTCCTATCTCTGATTCAAGTCGATTATCTTCAAGATTCAAATATTTTATTGAAGTATTCACGCAAAATGCAGCTAATAAAGCTTCTCTGCCTTCTTTTCCAAGTTCGTTATAACTAATATTTAGAGAAATCAACACTATATTATTACGAATAAAATCTGCTAATTTCTCTACCTCTCTAGAGTTGAGACTGATCTGATTAAAACGAAGACTTAAAGTATTTATGACAGTATTGTTGGAAAGAGCATTCAATAACATTTTTGTTCCTCTAATTTCAGGTTTTACTGAATCAATACACAAAGATGTCAAAGTTGTACTTTTATAAAGAATTTTTACTAATCCATCTATTGCCATATATTTATAACAATTCAAAAAATGCTGGTTAAAACTAAAATATAATTCTAAAGTGGTAATAGCAGTAAGATTTTCAAAATTCATCAGACGGTGATCGCAAAGGATATCATCAAGATATACATATTTCAGATTCTTGCCGGTTCGTATGAGCATTGCAATCAGATAAATTTTGACGGCCATCTCATAAGTATTTAAATTTGAAGCATCTACTAGTTGTTTTTTTTCATCATGAAGCCGTTGTTCTTCTTCATCATGAAGCCGTTGTTGTTGTTGTTTATCACAAAGCATCTTATAAGTATTTAAATCTAAAGCATCTACTCGTTGTTTTTCACTTCGAAGCCAACTATTAGTGAAAATCTCATAAGTATTTAAATTTAAAGTATCTACTTGTTGTTGTTTTTCATCACGAAGCTGTTGTTGATGAAGCCATAGTTGTTTTTCAACACGAAGCCAATCAATAATTCTATTATACAATTCGTAGCTAATATATGTGATATAATTTGTATATTCAAATAGTGGCTTTGAGTCAAAATCTTGCTTTTCACCTTCACCTGACAATTCTTGCCAACCAAAAAACTTCATTCACTCTTGATTTATCAAATCTCTCTCTTCATCATTCAATAATAAAAAAATTATTCTTATAAATTTTGTATCTTTAAGATGACATCCTGAAACGCTCCACAAAATTGGTATAACAATTTTACACTATTCATGATTTACAAGTGCACAAGAAAATAGGTCTTTAGAATAGTATTTGTGAGTTAGGTTATAGAATATTTTATTATAGCATTCAAGAGGTAACAGAATCATCTTGAGAAGTTAGTTTAACAGTTAGAGCTGTAGAGCGCGTATGTACGTATGTACGTACGTGTCTCTGATTATCTCGGTTGGTGATCACGTGACGATGTTCTTAGAACTTATTTTAAGAGGTGGGTTTTATATTAGAAGATCCTATTAAAAAATTCGAAAGTTTTTTAAAACTTCTAGTGTAAAAATTTTTTTATTTTAATTCATTTGAATTTGGTTCAGTGGTTATCGAGAAACCATCGATAAAAGTAAAAAAAAAAAACTTAAAAACGAACTAAAATTGGGTAAATTTTTTCTTTGAGCTTTAAACAAACATTTCTTGACAACCATCAGAATTTATGAAAATTTTTTTATTTTAATTCTGAGTTAATAGTTAATAGAATCAAAATAAAAAAATTTTATCAGATTTGGATAGCAGGTTGTCGAGAAATATTCATTAAAATTAAAAAAAATTTGGCTGCAGCTTTTTTTTTTAAGGTGTCTAAACTTTGAACGAAGATTACTCGTCACTTACCTGATCAAATTTGGTCAATTTTTTTTTATTTAAATTCTATAAGCTTATATATTTAAAATAAAAAAAAAATTGATCGAATTTGACTATGTAAGTGCTGAGTAATCTTTGTTCAAAGTTTAGATGTTTTAAAAAAAGAAGCTGCAGCCAATTTTTTTTTAACTTTTAATGAATATTTCTAATCAATCAAAACTATGTTAACAAATTTGTAAATCCGCTATACAAACATCAATTCATACTAATCTAAAATTCGGCAATTTAATTGGTCTAAGATCATATGATAGCTATAATACAAATAGTATTCGTAAAGTGAGGCTTTATTAGATGTTTAGACTCACTGGCTTGATAGTTTTCGATCAAATTTTTTATTTATAATAATTGTGACAATACGAAAAAAATTACAGAAAAAAGTTTTTACATTAATATGCAAGAAAAAATTATTAAATCATTTTACTAAATTTTTTTTTTAATTTATATATAAATTTGCTCTTTGATACTCCCGAATGATCTACAACTTTTTGAAAATCTATTATTATATATTTATTGATTAATAATAATATTAGACGCCCCAGAGTTTTTTTTAACTTTTATCGATGATTTCTCGATAACCACTGAACCAAATTCAATGAACTCTTTTCTATTTTATTATATTGATTGAAATAAAAAACGGTTTACTGAATTTATTAGTAATCATCGGTAGAAGTTTCGTAGGATCTGTGCCACATGATCTGCATAACCTGGCACAGAATTCATGCATGTTTGAAAACATGAGCCATCATTCATTATCAAAAATCTGCAAAGATATTGAGTTGAAAAGGACGAACATAATCACTTGTTACAAAATCTGCAAGGTTAATGTTGGATCTTGTTATGGAAAGGTTGCATATTAAAAGGATACATAACGTTAGGTATTGTTATGAAAATGAAGAATTCTGTTATCTGAAGAAAAAAATAACATTGGCTATCATTTACCATTACACGAGCTTATAATTGATATAAATTTGGTTGTAGTGGTAGTATTTATACAGAAAGTCAAATTAATCAACTTGAATTCAATTATATAATATATATAATAAATTATAATAAAATTTGTTTTTTTTAATTTAGAAAATTTAATATAATGTCATGTAAAATCACGGGACATTAGAGAATTTTATAAAGATACATTAGTGATCAATAGAATGAATCTCAACAATCATGAGGTCACAAACCGCAATAATGCTTGGCAGTTCAATAGTTATATTTAATCTTGAAGCACAGATTCTCGTGTAATAAAATAAAGGGTTTACAATGTCGATTAACTTAGTAAGCTTTTCAATTGCATTACGTGATAAAATTGATTATTCTTTAACTCGATCATTTTTTTAAAATTACGATATAGACATTTATAATGAATAAAAATTTCAATTGTTATTTTTTTTTTCTTAATTTTTTTTATTGATTTGATAATGATTAAAATTTAAATTCGCTTATTAGGTGAAATTTGAACTCGCCATCTAACCAGGTAGTTTAGGATCCCATTGCAATATTAATTGATTCGGGATCCACAAAAATTCGATTTCGACGTCATTTTATTAATGATTTATTATATTACATTTATCATAGTAGTATGACGGATTATTTGTTATAGTAGTATTTATATGCTTTGATTGTTTGATTCTATTTAAATTTAATACAAATGACTCTCGTTATTAGCCAGTGTTATGGGATAGCAATAGTTATATATGATAAGCTAGCCTTGGTTATAGCATAAGTTACTCGGAATGAATGTTTATTATGGACTTGAATTTAATTATTGGTAGATATTAAAGTACTGTACGTTATTAATCGAACCAATGCACATCTTTCCAATAGCAAAATTGAAAATACAAAATCATGATGAAAAAAAATTTTTTTATTTAACAGAAAGTTTGCGAATTTTTTATTAGTAAATCCTAAACATAAAGAAGAACATGCCATTCTTGTAAAGTTCTATCATATTTAATCATTCCAATCCAAAATGATTATAATGCATACATAAAGATGTCAAAGCAGTGTTTTTGTAAAAAGCGTCTAATCCATAATCAAAGAAGTCAGAGTGGAGTTTGTGCAAAGTGCACCTGCTAACCCTGATCTAAGATTATTCTTACTAATGTTCAAATAAACCAGAGTGGTGTTCTTACAAAGCGTATCTGCTAATGCTTCGCCTATCTTTGGTCCAAGTTGATTACTTGCAAGATTCAAATATTTCAATGAAGAATTCTTGCAAAGTGCAGCTAACAAAACTTTTCCACCTTCTGTTCCAAGTTTGTTATTACTGATATCTAGAGAAATCAACACCGTATTTTTACAAATAAAATCTGCTAACTCCTCTACCTCTTCAGGGCTGAGACCGATCTGAGTATCACGAAGATCTAAAGAATTTATGACTGTATTGTTGGAAAGAACATCCAATAATATTTTTATTCCTTTAATTCTAAGTTTTATTGAATTAAGTTTCAAAGATGTCAAAGTTGAATTCATTCTAAGAATTATTGCTAATCCACATAACGCCTTATATTTAAGATCATCCTTGATATTATACTTAAGTTTTAAATTTAAAGTGCAAATAGTGGTGTTCTCGAAAAGATGTTCAAATAGTACTTGATGGTGTTTACAAATGACTTCGTCAAGATACATATATTTCAGATTCTTGCCAGTTCGTATAAGCATTGTAATCAGATGAATTTTAATGATCTTTCTAAATTTATCACCTATTTTTTTCTTACTTCTATGTCCTTCATCAAAAAACAAATTTTCAATTCCCTTATACAAATTATTGGTAATAGCTGTAATATAATTCGTATATTCAAACAGTGGCTTTGAGTCAGGAATAACAAATGAATCTTTCTTTTCATCTGACTCTTCTCGAACAAGTTTTAACATATCTCTCTCTTCATCAGTCAATAATAAAAAAATTGTTCTTATAAATTTTGTATTTCTAAAATGGCGTCCTGGATCGCTCCACAAAATTGGTATAATAATTCTACACCACTCACGGTTTACAAGTACACATGAAAATAGGTTTCTAGAATAGTGTTTGTGAAGCCGTAGGTTATAGAATATTTTATTGTAGCATTCAAGAGGTAGCGGAATCATCTTGAGAAATTAGTTTAATAGTTAGAGCTGTAGAGCGCGTACGTACGTACTATGTCTCAGATGAACGTTAAGTATTACACAAAAGTCATGTGCAATCAGTCAATCAGATTACATTTTTGATACTCCTGCACCTCTGCAGATCCTGGTAAAAATAAAAATTTTAAAAACTTTGAGCGAAGATATTTCGACAACTACTTACTTGAATCTGATAAAACCTTTTCAATTTCAATTCTATGAATTCATAGAATTCAAATAAAAAAAAAAAATTCATCGAATTTAGCCATGTGGTTGTCAAGATATCTTCGCTCAAAATTAGAGAAAAATTAAAATAGCACCCCCAACTTTCTGTGCCAGGTTATGTCGATCAGTATGTGGTGCAACCATTTGCATGTCATAAGTACATAGTACGAATAGATAATAAGTTCCTGTTAGCAAACGTATATACGTACGTATATACGTACAAAACTAATAATCTAAAAATTTTAATAGCAATTTACTTACAATTATATAACTTATATATAGTAACAAAATGTGTTCGTTTTATGCTTAATAAAAGTTTACTTTAGTGTTTATGTTATAACGTGATGAAACTTTTTTAAATTTTAATTATCAAAATGTTAGTAAATTTCCTAACTTGTTTAGCAAATTCAACGTAACAATCTGAAATCTTAGATACGCAGTACCGGGTTAGGTATTAACCATAGCTACTGCGGACCGGCAGATTCTCAATTTTGATTGGCTAAGAGCGACGATCAAAAAATTAGGCCGGAATTACTCATAATTTTACTAATTAAATCATAGCCGCCTATTAAGTGAAAATTGTTCCTGAGCCCAATTTTACCATAATGCAGGCTTATTTTTTAAGAAATTCTATTTTTGTAATGAAAAAATTAAAAAGTTAATTCCAGCTGGAAATTAGTAAACAATTTTGTAATGTGGGCCAAAATTTCGAAGATCCTCGGCCGTTAGCCAATCAAAATAGAAGATCTGCAGTTCCAAATTTGTTGCGGCAGCTATGGTTAATAATTTAGATAGGTGTTTTGATTTTTCTTCAACTTTGAGCGAAGATATCTTCACTACCACCAGACCAAATTCGATGAATTTTTTTTTTATTTAAATTCTATGGATTCATAGAATTCAAATAAAAAAAAAATTATCAAATTTGGTCCAGTGGTTATAGAGATAGCTTCGCTCAAAGTTTTTTTAAATAAATTGGCGTAGCTTTAATTTAGACAGATGTTTTTTTCTTCAACTTTGAGCAACGATATCTCCCCTACCACCAAACCAAATTTTATGAAGTTTTTTTTTAAAAAAATTATATGGATTCATAGAATTCAAATAAAAAAATTTATCAATTTGGTCCAGTGGTTGTGGAGATAGCTTCGCTTAAAAAGTTTAAAAAATTGGTACAGCTTCTATTAGTCTATTCTATAAACACCAAGAACTTTTGGGGCCTATCAAAAACGATACTTTTGCACACTGCTACGATTTTGTGTAACAGTAATCTGGTAACACTCTTAAGGGGTAATATAAACACAAATTGATAATATCCGATCATAGTTTAGTTAGTTAACTGGATCACGACTTGCAGTGGCGACATACGGCTATATTGTTGAACCCCATGTTCAATTACCACACAAGACATTTTATATATATTTTCAGAAAATATCAAAATGCTTAGTGTAAACATGTTCGGATATTACAGGTACACTAATTTTTTCGAATAATATCAGATAGTATCAGGTGATATATATATATATACAACTATTTCGGCGTTTACATATATTTTTGCAATTTAATAACACCTATTAATTTTTACTTAGAATACCTCACACCGACTAATTAGATAGTTTTTGTTATTTAATAATATCGAAATATTTTTAATAAAACATCATCAAAATTTTTATAATGATTGTACGGAAGATATTTTCACAATTTTTAAATAATTAAAGGTGACCAACGTAAAATTTATATTTTACTTGTGACGTACTTATTTCTTGTCAACTATAGATTTTGTTGATTATAACTTAGGTCGACTTTTAATGTAAATATCAAACTTATTATAATTCAAGTTCGCTAATAAACTTTAATTAATTTATACTTTATATGTTTATGTAAAGGTCGCTCTCAAGCAGGCCTACCGAATAATTGATTGTATGAGCAATTTTTTAAGCTCAATTAATTAATTGGTGGCGCAGTCACAATTAGTCAATTAATTGCAATTTTACGTAATTAGTGTATATTCACCACTACGATATGATTTTTGATTTCTGATTTTCGCTGTTTAAAAGATCAGATTACACCAGTGAAAGAAAATTGAATTTAATTGCAATTAATTGCAATTATTTCGTCATTAATTGGGTTTCAATTAATTTTACGATAATTTTAATTGATTTTAATTGTATGACGTATAGCAAAAATTAATTTAAATTAAATTTTCGGCAGGCCTGCCTGTCATAGGGCTTTAATTATATTTTGTGCCGGACAAAATCTTTATCAAATCAGATAGATTGAGCCCGGCAAGCAATATGCTTGAAAATGTTTTGTTGATTTAATTGTGAAAGCAAAGAAAACTTATTTTGAACTGTTTGACAACCATTTATATAATCACAACCACAAATATAACCAATCAAATGTTAAGAACGATAATATAAAGACTAGTCATTTATGCGAACAATACTTTTAATAAGGATATCCATCATCGCACAATGCTAAAAATCGACAAGAAAGAACCTTGATTTCCGTATTCAGTAATTGGTACAAATAGTTCTAATGTGGCTGCGGTGCATCAAAATATGTTAATTAATAACCTTTTTAAAAGTTTGTGTTTTTTAAAGAAAATTTATATATATGTACATTGTATTCCATTTCGTTCCTTTAATATCTCATTTTTCGAGGAAGAAAATAGCGTTTGTTCACCATGATCGTCGCTGTTCCAAAAGGTATTTTGTTTATTATTCAATGATTCTTTCCACCTTTTGCTAACCAATCTCTTCTTTGATGCCTAGACTTGGATCTCTTACATATAATTTACTGCCTTCGTCCACTCATTCAAATGACGATTATTTTTCTAGTCTTCATCTATATCTCCTGGTATTTAAGTGAGTACTAAAGTTTCATTATCGTGCACACTCAGTACATATATATGATACATTTCTAATTTAGTATTATTTCAGAACTTACAATTGAAATGATAATGGGCCAAGTAATATCTTCAACCATCCAACCAGCACTGAATACGCGAAGAGCAAGAAACATTCGTCAACGTCAACCCGTAAATGTCATTGATCACTGTCTGGAACTGCTTCGATATGAACATATCATTCGAATTGGGGATATGATTCAAATATTTGGGATGCCAATCAGAACGCTATAACGATAACAAAGAAGCTGGACTTTTTTGTGTATTCATCAACCAAAAGCCCAATATTCACGTGACACCCTCCTTACAAACAAACATTTCCTTGTCGTAAGATCTACCTTGCCTACGCATACATTAAAGATTTCATTGATTCGAAAAATCAAAGTTCAAACTTTATCAATGTAAAAATTGATTGATCTTGTATAATAAAATATCTATATTTATCTTCGTGGAATTACTTGTAGTAAATGAATGTACACGTGATATAGTTAATCGATTTTTTTTCTTGAGAATTTTAAATTTTTTTGGCGGATACGTTACACTACAATTTATACATACGTATAAAATTTCTTGACGAAAGTAAATGAGATAAACCTTCGATCAGTCGGAATATCCTAAGTATCATGAAGATTCTCGTGTAATGTCATTATCACGTGTTACCGCATTCTTATTTATATACGTTAATGAAGTGAATGCATTGGTGGAACGAAGGCCCACACCTACACTTTTTTCAAATACATAAATTAGTCTTGTATTTTTTGTTGGAAATTTTTATCAATGAGTGAAAATTTGGAGTCAATCCCATATCTTCGTCGTAGCGTACAAGAGGCATGTTCAAATGAAGGAAGTGAGCACGGTGAATCTAGCTTTATGAATTACGACGTTCAAAAATAACTTATCTGTTATGATCATTTTCAATTTACGATCTTTCACATACTATTCTGAATCGTTCATAACCGATTCTATAGAATTAGACTGCGGCTATTCACAGCTAGCTCCTAATGTAGAAAAAATATTCCCTGACGCTGCCCCTATGGAGGATAAAATGTGTCGTATATGCTTTGCCGGTCCTGAAGAAGAAGAAAGTCTCGGTCGTCTTATTTCTCCATGTTTATGTAAAGGGACTATGAGGGTCAGTTTCATTATTTTCGGTGACGCCTCTATTATTGTCTCTTTTATATTTGTTAACAAGCTGTTTGAATTCTCATAGTACGTCCACGTGGAATGTTTAAATCATTGGCGGCTACGAAGTCAGAAGAAGTCGAGTTTTTTTCAATGTGACGAATGTAAATATAAATATGCTTTTCGAAGAACAACAATTGCAAAATTCGCTACTAATGAATGTAAGTTTTTTATTTTTGTATTATCTAATTTCTTTTTTTTTAAAAAAAATTAATTTACTGACTAATTATTGAACGATTTCATTATAATTAGTTATTCTTACGTTTGTCACTTTAACATTGTTCGCTTTTTGTGTATTTATTGGTGGTTTTCTTGCAAAATTTCTTCTTTACCTTTACCCTGTTGCCGATTTTGGCGAGGATTACATTGCTGATGAATTCAGATATGCCCCATTATTTCGTGAACCTATGGAATTCTCAAAAATATTCAGAATTGACTACGTTCACATATTATTAGGATTCATGTTTGTAGGATTTGTAGGGTTTGTACAATTATTGTTCTCATTAATGTGGTTTGGTCCTTTCAGATTTGGTCCAACAGGTGGTGCAACTGCTGGTAGACGTGGTGTGGATGGAATCACTGCTGTTTTTTTCACAATTATTGTTGCTGTAGGAATTCTTAAAGCTGTATATGGGATGTATAAATTGGTCAGAAGTGCAAGTCGAAGGATCTTGGAAAGGGTTGAGTTGACAATTTTGGAAGTTAATGAGCGGTGACAATTGAGTTGTAATCGAAATAAGCACACTTTTTCGACTTTTCATGAGTTGACTTGATTTAGGTGATGCATTGTTTCTAGCAAATACGATATTCATTTTTTTAAATGTCTTGCATGACACTTGTAATTAAAAAGAAAAAAAAATGATTAAATTTTTTAAAAAAAATGACGATAATAATAATAACAATAAATTATTTATTACAAGTTGGTTTCGTAAAATCAAAATAATTGTTCTTGGTGATAATTTAAAGAAATCAACTTATTGCCACTCCGTCCACTACCTTTAACGTCCCTCTAACCCTAATATACGTCATCGAATTACTATTTAATTTGAACGGAGTGGCGGGGAATGTCTAAAGCAGAGTGGATTCTCATTGAATTAAATTTAGAGTTAGGGCCATCTTAATCTATAGTTAGGTTAGGGTTCAAGGTGTTTTTGTATAAGCAAAATTGCCCTCCCAACATTTTTAATTAATACCCAAGGTGAGGTTCAGTTTCAAATTTCTATAATTTGATTGGCACCATATCATGTGACTATACTCCGCTTTAGACTTGCGCCAGGGAAATTTGCTTTTTTCAAAATATCGCCCATGCGGCTCGAATCGATCACCAGTGTATTAGAGGTGGAATTTTGGAGGTGGCTACCTTATCATGGCGATACGGTATATTTGCCGTATAAGTAGAAGTGCCGCATGCCGTACGTATAAGTGTTGTATGCCGCAATTTTGGGCAAGTATAATGATCTATTAATCGGTGGATTAAAAAAAAGAGATTCATGTTTACAAACACTTATTTACTACTAATACCCTTCAGATTACCATTCTATTCGGTCAGTGAGTATTACAATAAATTTTTAATGATATAAAATATATATATAATATTTGACGATGATTAAAATGGTAAGACAACAAGCAAAAATGAGAATATTAAGGATTGCATCGGAGAATTTCAGCTTGGATCCATGAACGGATTTCATTCAATATATTACCGTATAAGCGCGAAATAACGCTCGTGGGCGTTATTTTGAAAATCGAATCCTTCAAAAATAACTTTTATGTTCTCGACATTAGCGCTTATGGGCATCCCGAATTAACGAACATAATGTAGCACATAATTTATTGTTGCGATAAATGATATACAGTCAACTCCATATGTGCACTTTCCCTATAATGATAAGTGCACATAATTTGATAGATCCAATGTAATTATTTAATATTATCGTTATATGTAGATTATGTATAAAAGTATTTTTACCCAAAAGCGTGCAGTTATAGAAGGTTGACTGTATTGAATTTAGAAAAATCTACTCTTATTTCGAAATTGCACACATGGGTATATCCGAAATAACATGCAAGTCAATTAATTAGCATAGGCCTCACTTGTATGGTATCTAATGTTAAAGAAAATTGGGTTACAGGTCATTTTTCTGAAAACTTTTCCCAAACAACTTTTTCACTAAAAATATTTCACTAAAACCAACTTCCTGACATCTATTTTCTTGAAACCATTTCCTCAACATCATATATTTTCCCAAACCCATTTTCTATTTTTTTGAAACCATTTTCCTGACATATTCACTTCCCCAACATATCTACTTCAAAATATTCACCTTTTTGACAATCTATCTTACTGATATTTTTATTTTTCAAAAACTCTCACCTCTAAAATTTCATCTTTTTGAAATTTCTATTTTTTTAAACTTTTTATTTTTTTGAAATTTCTATTATTCAAAGTTTCATCTTCTTAAAATTTTTATTTCTTTAAAATTTCATTTTCCTGAAATTTCTATATTTTCAAAATTTCTATTTCTTCAAAATCTCTATTTTTCTAAAATTTCTATCTTTTTAAAATTCTATTTTTAAAACTCTTATTTCTTCAAAATTTCTATCTTTTTAAAATTTTTATTTTTCAAAATTTTCATCTTTTCAAAATTTTTATTTTTTCAAAATTTCTATTTCTTTCATTATTTTGGCAGAATTTTTTAATTTAAATAATAATTAAAAATTAATAATAGAATACAGCGGTTTAGTGAAGTGGTCTAGTTATTATCTTACCAAGTGGCAGGTTTAAAGTTCAAATCCCATAAATAGTGTTTTTGAATAATAGCTTGTATTATAGTAATTAGGTACTGATTATCAAATCAGAGCAATTTATAATTTGAGTTGTATCAAAATATTGTATTAGAAAGAATTTTGGTATTTATATAACCTAATTGAGAAGTATGAAAAAATGAGTTGTATATCGGATTTGTTGACCAAATTCGTGTTTTAATCAAATTCATAAATTTTGATCTATCATTAATAACTCATGATATAGTAATTCAATCTTGATAATTTTGATACTATTCGAATTCTCACAGTAAGAGGATTTGAATAGTATCAAAATTATCAAGATTAAATTACTATATTATGAGTTATCAATAATAGATCAAAATTTACAAATTTGATTGAAATGAATTTTGGTTAACAAATCCGATATCAGAATCTTAATATACAAAATTTCAATATATAAAATTATGATAACAAAATCTTAATTGATAATCCGTAACTCAACAGGTGCATGATCTTAGTAAAATGTGACTCAGATTACTATATAAATTTACTATAGTGCAAATGCTGCGATTGCACAAGGTAAACTTTTTTTTGTACTAAGATAATTAATCTTGTCAATTAATTGAAAGTTGTAAAGCTCATCTTTGCGGTTCTAATGGTGGTTAGAGCATCAAAATCGGCTTGGTGGGTGCCAAGATATCTTTAAAAAATGTTTTTTTTACTATGTAAACTTCTTTGCAAACAATATTATTATTTGTAAAGAAGTTTATATAGTAATAAAAACGTTTTTAAAAGATATTTTGGCATCCACCAAGCCGATTTTGATGCTCTAACCACCTTTAGAATAGTGATTTGAACCGAGAGAAATTTTCTTAATCGGTTAACCGAACCAAATTATCTCATTCAACCGATTACCAACTGGTTAAGATTAAATATATATATTAATACTATGTACCTGTGGAAATTCTAGAAGCTTTATTCTAATTTTTGTCAGAACTTTTCAGATCCTACGTCATTTTAACATTTTCTCATACCATATTAATCTTGCCGACCGGTTGTATCGGGTCAACCGATTAAGAATTTCCTCAACCGGTTACCTGAAATTTATTCTGTTCGAGTCGGTTAACCGATTATAGCTCAACCGATTCAAGTCACTACTTTAGAATGTGTCTTGACAGCTTTACAAAAGTCTCTTAAGTTAGAAAAGTGATTAACTTAGTATAAAAAAAAGTTTAGATGCATGCATATCACATTTGGGCCAATAGTAAATTTTATTTATAAAATTTTGCAGATCCCCTCTAGGTAACAAATGGATTATCAATTAAATTTAATACTGACTTATATAAATGTAATTTATCTACATAGTACACTAGCAGCAATTCCAATAACAACTTTAATAACAAGTCTAATGGCAATTCAAATAGCAATTCTTGTAGCAGTTTTATTTATTTTATTTTTTTTTTAATGTTAAAGGTGAGACCATGCTCTTATCTTTATTAAACTTAATGAAAACTTTTTACA